AAAAAGTGTTTTTTTTTTTTTATTCAAAAAATATTTAATATTCATTCTGGGATTACTTTTTTTTATCTTTTGTTTTGTGAGCATTTAAACTAATAGAAGAGAATTACTTGAAATTAAGAATCTCCATTTTTCATTAATTGTCCTTAATCATTTCATAAAAGTAATTTTTATATACAATTATTATTATATTATATTTATAAATAAAATTTTGAATAAAATGAAATTGACCATTCAATTAGTTGAAAGTTATCTCGGAATGCATTGTTTCAATTTTCAATTTTTTTGAATTTATTGAGAATGATTGATTGGCTGATGTTAAAAAAAAATTTTTTTTGAATTAATCAAAAAATTAATTAAAAAATTTCAAATTATAAGAATATTTAAATTTTTATAATACTTTATTGATCTTTTATAAACCAGAATCCAATGTAGTTCAAAGGTTAGAACGCTTGGTTTACACCCAAGTGATCAGAGTTCGATTCTCTGCATCGAATTTTTTTGATTTTATTTTAATTTAATGAGTAAAATATATGAATAAAATTTCAAATTTTTAATATTAAATTATTCTTTTATTCATATATCAAAGAATATATTAATATATTCTTAATTTTTGTGATCAGAATGGAATTAATGTGATTAACAAATGAAACAAATGTAATCATATTAAAAGAGGGATGAAATAATCCAAAAACAAAATACTATTAAATAAATAACATTAGGATTCATTTAAATTCTTTATATAATTGTAAGAATCATTTGTATTTCTGAAATATTTTTTTTAATTTCCTCATCATCAAGCATAATCAATTGCTTTTTTATTTTTGTCATTGTTTTGCAATAAAAGTTTAATAATTTCTTTGTTAAATCTAAGATTTCCTATAATATAAATGAATAGTCACATATTTTAAAGTATAAGATCAGCCTAGCCTACATTTGCACCTCAAATTGAATAGAATCATTCAATTTCAAATTGAAATAAATAACACGAATTTTCAAAAGTTATCGTTGGAGTATTATATATCTTCACTGTAATATTATTTAATACCTTATTATCACATTCTATAATAACATTTGTATTGCCATATATTGATAAAGAATTCATTTGATTTATTTTTGATAAATTAATTTTAATGATTTTTTGATGTTGGCATGAAATAATATAATATTTTTTTCTTTCAAATATCATCAATGCCATCAAACTATATGACTTATATTTATGCATTTGGAATTTTGATGTATGAAGTCGTGACATATTTAATATCAATTCTATCAAAAAGTTATAAACGAAAATTATCGTCCAAAATTAAGATATATATTCAATATTTTAATAATAATAATAATTAATTTGCGAAAGCTGTTGGTCAAATAATCCAAGACATATTCAACAAATTGGCATATGGCAATAAAAGCTAAACTGCGAGTCATTTGTCTGGATAGTATTGAATAATGAAAATAATCATCTCAATTTTGAAATAAATAATTATATATTTTAAATAATAAATTGATAATTGAATTGAATGAAAAAAAAGAAAAACAGTTTAGTTTGGTGACATTGATGATGAAAATAAATACTATTTAGATGATGTTGATGTTGAATCTGTTGTTTCTTAATCATTTAATATTTACATAGATAGTCAAAATGAAGAAGAAATCAATAAAAATGAAGATGACTTCATTGAAACTTTCATTTCGTGTGAAAAACTTAATGCGCTTGGCTATGCATCTGGTGCTAAGATTATACATTTATGGAAGAATACCACTTATTTATAAACCCTTCTTATCCTTATCTCAATGAGAATTTAAAAACCAAAAATGTTATTTATGGCATACAATATTTTCTTAATTTTGAAAAATTATAAAAAGATAATAACTAATTATTTTATTAACTCATTTATTCGTTAAGAGAAAGTTCATTATCACGTTTTGCTACAATATTAACGTTGACATTTGGAGCAAGATTATAATTATTTTCTCAGATCTCATTCAAGATATCTTCAAATGAGGGACGACTCTCATAATCAAACGACAGACATCTAGATATGAGGTCAACTCCGAATTCAGAGATGAACGATGATGGACTTGGCAGCGGAAATTCTTTCTTATTCATTTTTTCTTTCAAAGAATACTTAGGCAATGTTCCAGTGAACAAGAAGCACAAAATAACCGCAAAAGAATAAACGTCCACCTTGTTACTGTATTCTTCATCACCCAACAATTCAGGTGCCATGAAAATTGACTTTTTCAGACCAATCATTGAACTTCTAGTGACACTGAAATTTGGGAAGAAAGATTCGTTAATTTTTGCGAATCCGAAATCGACTATTTTAGCATTCAAAAGTGAATTGAGACAAATATTTTCCATTCTCAAATCACGATGTAACAGACCACGTTTATGAATATAGATCATTCCATGAATTATTTCAATGATAATTCTTGTTTTTATTGTGTTGCTATCATTAAAACTTTTCTTCAAAAATTCATTCAAATCGAAATCAAGATATTCAAGAAACAAGGCAATCGTTGTCATGTCGTTTCCATCTTCATCTTTGATTTCTTCAGCTGTGTTTATCCCGTATGTCTTGCAGATGCATGGATGGTCAATTGACAAAAGCAGCTCGAATTCTTTAATCGCATTTTGAACGTGCTGAAAGGCTTCTTCTTCAGGAAAAAGAACTTTTTTGCACATGACCAAATTCTTCACAATGTCGATGATCTTAGTGCAGATTGAGATTTCATTCTTGCACATTTTCTCAATGAAAACATGATTCTTCTCTTCTTGTGCATCAATGAAATAGTTCTTCTCAAAAAGTTGATCGTTTTCCTTGTCATCTTTTGCTTTTTCTTCTTCTTTCAAATAGAAAACAAACGATGAAGAAATACTTAATTTTGCTGGCTTTGATTTGGATTCATTAAATTTTAATGGTGACATGCTCAACTTTGTTTCAACTTGCTTGATTTCATTTGATACGTTAAGCTTTGTTTGAATTTGCTTAACTTCATTGATTTTCAGTTGTGAAAAATTAAGTTTTGTTTTGTTTTCACTTTTTTGCTCATGAATGCTGGCGGATGACATTTTAAGAATTATCTTTTTGGGTTGTTTTTCAGTAGCATTTTTTGTTTGCTCTATATTTGAGTCTTTGTGTTGTTTTTCTTTTGTATTTTTAGATTGTTTGTCTTTTGAGCTCTTTGATTGCTTATCATCGTCCGATACTTTTATTTTATCTATAGACTTGTCTTTTTTGGATTTCCAAAAAGCTAATTTGGAATCTTTCTTTTTTATTTCTTTGGCTTTAACAATTGGCGTTGGATGTACAACTGCTCTTATTGCAGCTATAAAACCGTCTTTAATATGAGCTAGACTATGGAAATCGCATTCAATATAATCTTTAGCACCAATTTTTTTCATGATCTTTTGGCCTTCTTTCGTTGAAATTGGATACCATCCTTTTGCTTTGTATTCATCAGCATGCTGAGGGAATTCATCTCTTTTAGATAGATCTAATCCAACAAGAATATAAGGAGCACCTGGGCAATGCTCTTCTATTTCTGGCAAAAATTCAGTTTCGACCTTTTCAAGTGAAAGTTGAGAAACAAGAGAAAAAGCGATAATAAATACATCGGTCTGTGGATATGATATTGGCCTTAATTTTTTATAATCATACGAGCCAGATGTATCCCAGAGTTGGAGGTTAATGGCTTGGTCTTCAAACATAACATGTTCTGAATAATTATCAAAAACTGTTGGAATAATTTCTCCTGGATCTGAATTTGTAGTGTAGGCGATTAAATAAGCTGTTGTATTCACGTATGGTGAGCCAACAACAACCAATTTAATATCTGAAAATTAGGAAAAAAAAAAGAATACGCTTCATGAAATTTAATAAACTATTGAAATATTTATCCAACAAAAATTCATCTACATTTCATTGAATTTCAAAGTGACTTTTTATGTACGTTTTTATTATTTCAAAAAGTTATATAAAAAAATTTTTTTCCCCTCCCATGGCTGTTAAGGCTAATGTTAACCTTATATAGTTCCATAAAAAATGCATTGAATATGTATTGCCTACATAATTCTGGCCGTTGAGAAAACTATTGTGATTAAGAAAATGATTGTTATTGAGAAAAAGAATTTGATTGAGAAAAAAAGTTGATTGAGAAACAATTAGTAAGAAAATAGTGTGATTGAAAAGAAAAAATATGGTGATGAAATAATAATTTGATGTTAAAAATTCTATGAGTTTTCACAAAATTAATTGACTTAAAAAAAATTATTTCTTGAGTATTTTTGCTATATTTTGGTATATATAAATTATATAAATTACATATCATTTATTTCTATTCTTCTTTTAAGCCTATTCCCTTTTTTCGATAACAATTTAAAAGTTGAAAGGAGTAAAAATTTTACAAAAATGATCGGAATGGTGAAATTGTAAAGTTTTAAACTTTTTCCGAGATAACAACTATTGAATTTTCTTTTCTATGAGTTTTCTCAATATTGAAATGTTTACAAAAAAATATGATAGTGGTCCCTTAAATGAAGAAAACCGATTTTAGATATCTACCAAAAATTGTAATGATCATATATTTTATAATATCAGAGATAATAATAATTAGAAAATCTTGGTTTATCACGAAAACTTTGAAAAAATGCTTTTTATGATTAGTTATAAATTTGATAACGATTATTGATTACCAATCATTATCAGACATTTTTTACTTAATAAACATTATTAGATTTTATTTTTCTCTTTGTAAAATAATATATCATTTATATAAAGCATATATTCTCATTTTTCACTTTTTAAAATTTATTATAAGTAAATATATTTGTATTTTTAATTTCATAAAAATTTGAATACTTTCGAAAATTTTTTCTTGATATCAAAATTTTTCTCGATATTTGATATCGAGATCGATTATCAAATTAATTTAAAAATTTCCAAATGTGGTAATATTTAAATTTTTATAATACTTTATTGATCTTATATAAACAAGAATCCAATGTAGTTCAAAGGTTAGAACGCTTGGTTTACACCCAAGTGATCAGAGTTCGATTCTCTGCATCGGAATTTTTTTGATTTTATTTTAAATCAAAAAGAATGTTCAAATTTTCTTTGCCCCTCAATTTTCGTTGCCGTTTTCAAATTTTTAATATTAAATATTATGTTCATATATCAAAGAACATATTAATATATTCTTTATTTTTGTGATCAGAATGGAATTAATGTGATTAACAAATGAAACAAATGTAATCATATTAAAAGAGGGATAAAATAAACAAAAAACAAAATACTAATAAATAAATAACATTAAGATTCATTTAAATTCTTTATATAATTGTAAGAATCATTTGTATTTCTGAAATATTTTTTTTAATTTCCTCATCATCAAGCATAATCAATTGCTTTTGATTTTGGTCATCAATTTTATTTAAATCAATTACTTTGCTTTGCAATAAAAGTTTAATAATTCCTTTGTTAAATCTAAATGAATAGTTATAGATTTTAAAGTAGATGAATTGAATCTTTCAATTTCAAATCGAAATAAATGTTTAAACTCTCAACTTTATTTTATTGGATTAACTTGTCTAAATTTTTTGAACCGAATGCATGTAATTGTAAGTAATGCTATCAATAATGCAGTTACTGAAATAAAAATAACAACAATAATTACTATTGTGCCTGCTTTAGAGATATAAATGATATTTCTTGGTCCTTTAATTGTATCGCAACAATAATAATAGCATTTGTTTTCTTCACAGACTTTTCTCAAACCTGTTTCAAACAAATAATCTTGATCATATTCATTTTGCTTTTCATAAAAAGATTTTGTGGAATTTGTAATAGGAATCCAAATATCATCAGAATTATTGTTCATGTCAAAATTGTTTAAAAATTCATTAATATCAAATTTTTGTAATTTAATATTCTTTTTCCCATTAAAATGAAGTGAAGACAATACAGTTGCTATACTTTGACTAGTATTCCTTTTTGACGAATGGTTTTTTAAAATAATATTCTGATGATGTAATTGAAAAGTATGATTATGAAAAAATGAATATAATAACGTATATTCAAATGAATTGCCACATTTAATTGTTACGTAATTATCATTCAATATTCCTTCCAACAAATCATCATTACATTCATAAACCGAACTCTCTATTTGTTCAACATTATTCTCTTTCAAATTAATATTATTAACACTTTTTTCATATATGATATCATCGTAATAAAAAGGAAAATCATATGTTTGATTGTATAAATGCACAGTATCAACCGAAAAATGACTATGCTCATGCAAATGAATTTTAGGGGAACCATATATTTCAACATTAAAAAAATAACACGAGTTTTCAAAAGTTATTGTTGGAGTATTATATATCTTCACTGTGAAATTATTTAATACTTTATTATCACATTCTATAATAACGTTTGTATTACCATATATTGATAAAGAATTCATTTGATTTATTTTTGATAAATTAATTTTAATGATTTTTTGATGTTGGCATGAAATAATATAATCAATTGACTCATTCACAAGATTATCAAACTTTCCATAGGTAAAATTACAGTTGTGTGCGATTATACTTGATTTTATAAAGAATGGAGCAATAAATAAAAGCATAAGTTAATTTATGAATTTTTATTCAATTTTCAAAAGATTCTTAAGAAAATCTCTTTTCAAATTATCCGGGCATTTTTATTTATTTCAAATAATTTTTCAATTTTGTTTATATTCTTTTTTTAAAATTCAATATAACAAAAATTAAAATGATTTTATTATTAGTATATTATTCATCCTGCCAAATACAATTTAGCAATCTGTTTGGTGCATATACATTTTATTTTTTACCTCTTGATGTTGTTGAAATTTATGTTGATGAAGAAACAATAACTTTATTAGGAAAAATGGAAGACAAAGATGATCTTTTATTGCAAGTGTCTGGTGATAATTTGGTTGAAGATTTTGATTCAAGTAAAGGGTTGGCTGGAATTTATTTCAAAAATGGATATAAATTAAAATTTATAAATGAAGGCGCTCATGAAATTAGAATCGATGTATGGTTTCATGATGCATTACCGAATTTCTTATGTAAAAATTATCGTTACGAATCTTATCCAATTTGTAATTTAGAATTAACTGGAGAATTATCTGATTATGAAGAAAAACATTTCATTTATTATTTGGATCATAAAGGTAAAAAAGTTTCATTTGGAATAATTTTAACAGCTCTAATATTAATGACAATATTTACATGTTGTTTGTACCGCAGTGATTAATTAAATTTTTTTTTTTTTTTTGAAATTCATTTAAAAAAATGAAATAGTTGATTACAATATCTTATTTTTATTTATTGTGATGACAAATATGCAATTAAAGGTATTTCTAATCCATAAAAGAGCCATCCAATAGGCGTTACTATTCGAATGAAACGACCAATTTTTTCCAAGGTTTCTTTATTATCTTCACTTTTATAATTAAAGTCAAGATCTTTGATAAAAAACACTAGCATTGAAACAATTGCTGGTAATAATGCAATTAAAACCAATATTATTGATGCTGCCAAATTGAATTGAATTCCTTGATATTTTGCAATAAGTGTTCCACAGTTGGAAGCAACTAAAACACCACAATTGCCAATGGTTAAATACATATCACTTTCATTTTGATAAGGTCGAGCATATATAATAAAACCAGCCCATACAATTTCAGAGAAAAAACAATACCAAATGATGTCATAATAGGCAGAAATAGCATAAAAAAATTGCCTCAATATGTCCATTAATTCGATATAATAAAAATAATTTTGGGTGTTTTTGTATTTGTTTTTAATCAATGAATGATTCGATCTGATTAAAATAAAAAATATTGCAATTGGAAGTAAAATTGATATAGCAATATAACTTACTATTGTTGTCCATATTTTTTGATTTTTTTCTGACATTAGTGATAAAAATTTATTTGTTGATGGAATAATTAACAATGCAAGGATATATGTCAGAAAAATTAATATGTTGTCGATCCTCATCTTACATTTGCAATTGCAATTACGATTACAGTTTTTGTGCTTACCACAACAATCACAACAATCAAATATATCTATTATATTAAAATACATAAAAAGCATTATCAAAATAGATATTCCCATAACGATCCCTACTATTGTTGAAATTGTATTTAAGAGCCTTGTTCTATCTATCATTATTGGAATCATAAATAAATAAAAAGAAAGCATTGGTGGCCCGCAAAAACATAAAGTTACATATAATAATGGATTTTCAAGTAGTTTATCGTATTTTTGATTTTTATTTGGGAAAAAAAAAGCAAAGCAATTACAATCGTCAAGGCAACATAATTCACAATGACAAGGGTCTCTGAATTTATGTATAAGTAAACCTATTATAATAATCACAACTGGAACTGCAATAATTATTAAGCCTATAGCATAATCATATTGAAAAGCAGCAAAGCCAAATCCTAATATAAAAAAAAGACCATATACAAAACAATAGTGAAAAAAGTATACATCTGTAATGAATGAAAAAGTCATTAATATCGTTAAAGGTAAAACAAATGTGTAAATATAAAAATGTTCGAAATGATTTAATGGATTTGTTCGAACCAAGCCTAAAAAAAGATCAACTAATTCTTTGGCCCAGTTAAAACAATTAATACAATCTGGATGTAATTTTGCAACAAAAGATTGTGGAGCGCTGATTCTTTGAAAAGTTCGAATAAGCCCTAAGCCTTCTGAAATTAGAGAACCACAACTATAACCAAAATCGAGGATTTGATTGAAAAAAATTCCGCATGCTGATTGACTATCACAACAACAAGACATGTTATAATTCTTGAAAATTTTATTTTGAAACTGCTTGAATTTTTGAATATAAATCTAAAAATAATCTGGGCATTTTTAATATATGTGTCGAAATTCAAAAATAACGTATTTTTTAATATATTTGTAGATCGCAGATGGATGGCCGTGTCCCAATGAAAATAAAGGAATTGGTTTTAAAAAAACTGGGCACAGGAAGCTGAAAATCGTCTTACTTTTGGTAAGATTGTTAATTTTTTTGAAAAACGATGCTCAGCTCATGAAAAAGATACCAAATAAAGATGAATACATTAAATATATCAAATTCGTTGATGAATCGCAAAGTCCTGCCCATATCTTTGAAATATAATTACAATAAATAATATGAAAAGTATTTCAATTTATTTGGCATGAATCGATGTCCGAGAGCAGAAAGATTTCAATAAAAGACTTAATATTAATACTTTTCTTTCATCCACTTTGGCTGATCAGTAAAAAAAAAAATGATTATTTTTATCTTTTGTGATGGGATGAAAGTGCTATTAACGGTCCTATTGAATTTGATACTGATCCCGATATTTAATAGTATAATACATATATGCAAATAATTATTATTATTTTGATTAATGCTCATTAAATACATTTTGTATAATTTAGAAATTGAAAAGAAATAATCAAAATTTTGGAAAATTGAAATAAATATTTTTATGTCAATTAAATTGAGAGAAAAATGATGGACTGTCAAATGATATATTAAATTGATATATACATTTCGAACCTTTTAGAGATAATTAAAAAGTGAATAACTTTCACTGCGTACTTTTGATTAGTTTTTCTATTTTAGATTAAATAAAATCAAAAATTTATTCCATTATATTTTCAATTTTCTTTATTGAATGATAAATTTCGTTTGAAACTTTTTAAATACTATTTTTTGTTGTATTTTTTAAATAAAATATATTAATTCCAGATTTTTTTTAGTTAAAGCAATATAATCTATGTTCTCCTAATGCACGACCATTTATAAATTGAAAATAAAATATTAAAATTTTGATGCGTTTATTAATTAATGCAAAATGATTTATCAGATTTTATTTCCCATATTGTTAACAAATACGAAAACAACACTTTTAATGCAAGCAATGAAGATCACATAATTTCACAAGCAGAAAATTTACTTGTTCAATTTGGATATCCTCCAAATAAAAATTCGGAAAAGAAGAAACCAAAAAAGACAAAGATAGA